ATAAATGTCATTTTACCCGCATCGCCAGAGTTAGTCTTATCCCAACCTGACCTTTTCAATATAATTACAATTACTGATATACAATTGAGTAATTTTCCTTGAACTAGATCCAAGGTTATGTTTATTTGAATCAAGGTTAAATTTTTATCTATTACTCTATTTAAATAAAAAAAAAAGTAATTATTATTTTCATTTTAAACTAAATTAATTTTTTCTAACAACAATATATATTAATTCTAAATATTACACATTTACACGGCTAATAATTATCAAAATTAATGTAATGTGTAACGCAAAGTGTGCTTTTGAGTGATGAGCTAGTTGAATAAAAGCCGCTCCTGTAATTATCTTTTATATATACATATATATATAGATATATGTTCGACACATTCCAAAGAATCACTCCCCTAGACCACCTGGGAACCGGCCGATGACCGACACCCTAGAAATTTAGACTTCTATTGTATGTTTCTAATAAATTTTTCTATTAATTTAATACAAGCATAATTTAATAATAAAAAATTCTTAATAAATTATTTTAATTTTTTTGGTCTTACATAAAACTACCCTTATTAGAATTTACTGTTTTTTTTTTTAAATTAAAATTGAGGATTAATAAAAAAAATTAGTTTTATGAATGACAAAAATTGATTACAATTGACTGGAAAATAATATTTGCCCGAGTTTTGGCGACGCAGCTGCAAAACGAGGGCGCGTGATGCCAGAACATGAGCTCAAGAAACCAACAAACCGTTTTATTTTAAATTAATGCGATACATGTAGGTATACAAATGACCAAAAGCTGGTTTCTTCCTCCGGTTTAAGAATTAATTAATTAAGAAATGGGCACACAGCGCCAGTAGTACTTATAGTATATACAGAAGGGGATTCAATTCCTCTTGCTAATATCGTATTATGCATATACTGGGGCTACAAGCCCATTTACTTTGTTATTATTATTGTTATTAAATGTATACAGATATTTTCAGCGGTGGCGATATAATAAAAATATCGAGTTGTGTTTGAAGTTGTCCGAGTCACGCTAATCAACTTGATTGAATTGTTAATTTTAATTTAAGACGGCAATTAAATTTGATTAACATTAAAAAATAATTATTGTACTCAAATTTTATTTTTATAAATTTTCCAAAAAAATTAAAAATTTATAAAAAAATTTTAAAACTGAAAAATTTCAATTTTTTATTTTTTTAATAATTTATTTTTTAAAAATTAAAAAAAATTTTTTTTAATCAAAATTATGATTGAAAATTAAAAAAAAATTTTATTTTTCTATTAAAATAAAAAATTTAATTAAAGTTAAAAAACAATTATTGTACTCAAATTTTATTTTTATAAATTTTCTAAAAACAAAAATTTATAAAAAAAAATTTTAAAACTGAAAAATTTCAATAATTTATTTATTAAAAATTAAAAAAAATGTTTTTTAATGAAAATTATGATTTAAAATAAAAAAAAAATTTATTTTTCAATTAAAATAAAAAATTTAATTAAAACATGAATCAGGTAATAAAGTGCATCTGTTTTTTTTTTCAAAAAAAAAAAACGATGACGGAACCTTCTGTCAAAATTTAACGGGTGGGATCTATTGTGATCAATATTGGTATAAATTTACTATAAAAAAAATCTTATGTACATATTTGTACAAACTGCATTTTATAATTTCTGATGAGTCACTGTAAATAATCATAAAAAATCATTCAATCTTTTTATCTTAAATTTTCAATGGAATAATTAATAAATTATTTTGCCCTATTTTTTAAAAATACTATATCCTATTTTCCTGGTTTCTTTTACGTTAGAATGAAAAATAAAGCGCATTAAAAATGATTAGGCTGGATAAAGAATTAAAGAATAGAGAATAAGGGTGGTCGGTACTAATAAAATCACGATATTAGATATTATCAAAAAGTGTCGCAATAAAAAGTCCCTTTGTCATCTGTATCTCGACTCTCCACTCAATACTAGTCAAAAACACATTTACATTGTGCGGACAACAATAATATCTTTTAGGTCAGCCCTAGAACCGGTTCACAGCGCTCAAACTTCAAGTAAATTCAAGGGATAAGGGGTAAGAATATTCAACGGCATGCAGATGCAGCCAAATATTTTATTATATTATGTATTATGTATAATGTGTAATGTATTATGAAATTTGAAGAACAATGGCAGGTTAAAGAGGCGTTTTGTCGGGTAAGATTGTGGGAAATTTAAAACTTTATTTGTGTAACACTTTTTCAATGGATTTTTGGAGCACTTAGATCTCATTGAGATAAATTAGCATTGTTGGGTTTATTTATTTTTTTTTTTTTATTAGGTACAAGTTGTAAGTTTAACAGGTGTAAATATTCATTTTTTTTTTAAATAATTACTCTCAATTTTTTTTTCAATAAAAAAAGCAGGGAGAGAAAAATATGGAAATCATTCCTATAATTTTAATGAAATATTTTCCTATACCATTTTAGGAGCGACTACTTAAATTATGGGAATTATACCCATAACTTTTGGGAAACGTTACTATAATTATGGGAATGGTTCCTATAATTATAGGAACGATACCTATAATTAAAACTGTAATATCAGCATGATTCTTATAATATATAGGAATGGTTCCCATAATATATAGGAATGGTTCCCATAATATATAGGAATAGTTTCCATAATATTATAGGAACCATTCCTATAATATTATGGGAACCATTCCCATAATATTATAGGAATGATGCCAATAATATTGGAGTAATTTTTTTTCACACAACTGTGGTATTGAATTAATTACTTTTCACTAGATTTATTTTTTTTAATTAAGTGATTCTTTTTTTATAATATAATATATATATATATATATAAATTGATAAAAAAAATTATCAGTAATAATATTTATTATTATTATAATTATGAAATTAATCAGTTGCAGCAGATGATATTTTTTTAATCTTGAATGGTATACATGCTTGTAAATTAAAAAA